ATTATAATTATACGTTAGTATGTGGAAGTTACATTCTTATTAAACAATTGTATTGTAAATTCTTTTCTTTAAAATACTTTTTCTAAAATAAAATATTTTTTGTCTTTTTAAACGATTTGTTATCTAATATTAATTAATTGGCACGAGTGTCATAATTAAACACATTAAAATTACATAAATAATTGCTATAACAACAATAAAAAATAATTATAATATTTTTCTAACTCTTTAATTGTATGGTTCATCTAAATTACTAAATTATGTCCATTAAAATTTATGATATCAATATAAAGATTCATTCGTAAGTCAAATAATTTATACTTACATTACACATTTGCTTATAGTCATATTTTAAAATGTAATACATCCATTAACTAAAATAAAATTATATATATTGTACACATACATATAGTATATAATTTTTTTTTTTTTTGCATATACACAAGATTAATACTAGTGTATTACTATTGATTATCATATTAATTGAACAAAATTTGTGATCCAAATAGTGTAACGTCCCTCCGAGACAGATCATAATTTATCATCATGGGCCACTAAATAAAGAACATATATATTTGGAGAATGGTACCATCCCGTTATGGGATGGTTTCGTTGTGTTTTCTAGCCATAGATATACATGTAATCTAGTGATGGATAGTTAATCCAACGCTTAAAAACATAACGGAACCATCCCGGGATGGTAGCATTCTCCTATATATTTTCTCATGTCATAATTTTTGTGTGAAGTGTAAAGCCCTTCCAGAGTTTAACTAAGTCCGTCATGGAAAAGTACTCACAAATTAAGAAGTGGTCCTCAATGAATTAAATGCTTATCAAAATTAATCATAAATGACAATCAAGATTAGTAATGACGCAGTTTTACTGGCAAAATATGACCCCATATGTATTATTGAGTCTAATTAATTAATAATTGGGATTAGACTATATAGTACTTGGTTAATTAGTTGAAATAATAATTTTAAACTCCAGTGTATACATTATAATCTATCAATGATTAGGGGTGAGCAAAACCGAGCCGAAACTGAAAAAACGAGCCGAACCGAGCAATTCGGTGCGGGTCGGTTCGGTTTTTTTAATATATATAAAAAAAAGGTGCGGTTCGATTTTTTCCCAACATTGCGGTACGGTGCGGTTATGATTTTTCTTAAGTTCGATTTTGTTCGATTCGGTGCGGTTTTGTCCTGAACTGCACCAAATTGCATAAAATATACATAAAAATTGAGATAAAAGCGAACCGAACCGTGCATTTCGGTGCGGTGCGGTTCGGTTATTTTAGTGTATAAAAATTTCGGTTCGGTTTCGGTTCAGTTTTTTTTTTTTTTTTTCAAACTGCAGTGCAGTTCGGTTATTTTTTTGGTCAAGATCGGTTTTCGGTTTTTTGCGGTTCGGTGCGGTTTTTCACCGAACCACAATGATTGTATTAGTTGATATATATAGATTATATAGTATGTGCTTTCTGCTCCATGATATAGGTCCAAACAGACAGCCTGGACCTAAAGGGTACTGTTTTTATTTACTTTAATTAATTGAGATTGTTAATTATGAGTGTAAATTTTAATTTTCTGGTTTGGATAATGAGCTACAAAATTATTACAGTCTTCATTAATATTTAAATTGAAGTACTTATA